AAGCCACAACATACCGGAGAAGATGATACGATTGCGACGAAGACGATTGCTTAGAAACTTTTGCGGAGAAGACGTTTTTGACGAAGACGATATCATAGACAGTTCGAGACGAGACAATTTGGGTAACAGTTAGGGTTTAACGATGAAGAAAGTAAGTTGTGATGTTATGATTTTTTTTCTACTCACCGGAAATATGGAAACGGTTGATTTTTCCATATCACAAAAGTTAGTGATGTGGATTACCTAATTAGTAATGTGGATTTGATAACTAAAACTAAATCTCAAAAGAAAAAAAATTAAACAAGGATCTTTATTGTAATTTCTTAGGGGTTTAAAATTATTATAGTAACTTTTAGAAAATGTATATCATTCTAGTTATATATCAACATTTCTATACTATTCTAGTAATTTTCTCTAAATTAAACTAAAATATAAGCTTAACTATATCAAATATAATCGATTATTAGACCCAAAACAATATAATCGATTACAAATTTACAACTACACGTCCAATTACAAAACTATAAATTATATGTAATACAAAGTAACCATGAACTGGAAAGCGGCCAATTGTTTTCTTTAAGCAGCCAAATTTATAGTAAGATAAACAGCCACTGTTTGTAACAAAATTAGCGTTCAATAGCTTTAGTAAATTTTTGTCTTTTAGTCGAACCATTCTTAATAAATTACCTTTTATTCCACAAAAACCCAAAAATGAAGTTAAGTACAAGATTAAGCAAAAAAAATTGAATAAAAATGATATAATCATATAAATTTGCAATCTAAATTTTGGAAAACAACACAAATTAAGCCACATAAAAACAGTTTCGGATAAGATTTTATCATATTGCTTAGTCAAACTAATCCGGATAAGAAGATAAAAACATCATATTAACTTTTTATGTTGATCTTAGTGCACGTTTAACCGCAAGAAAATATGGACTAATAAATAAAGAGATCGTATTTGAGAACCACAGGAACTGAGCGCATACACATTAAACTTCGTCCACTGAAGAGACATTCTTTTTAAAAAGGATAGAGGCACCTGCATCTAGTCAAGAAAAGAAAATCTATTACCAAGTGAAATTAATATATTCCACAATGGCACAGAAAAAAACATTCCCAAACTATCTTGTCAAAAAAGAAATAGTAGAGTTCAGAAACCAATTACATCCAAAACAACCTCACATAATAATTTTCTAAGAACTAAAATAATATTTCAGACTAAGAAAACTGTCGAAATGACTACATACCATCCAACTATCAAGGAAGAACAATACCCAAGTCCTGAATCTAAGAAGCAATAACCAGAGCGAACACACCGCTTACCAAAACCATGAGAAAGATAATTGAAGAAAGGCGGAACTGTCAAGTTGCTGGTGAGTGAGCACAGACAACCCATGCGCTGGCACATACCTTAAAGTCCTATGCGTCACCGAGGAAATCTCTTGACACATGCCAGAGAGAAAGGCACACAGTCGCACACCCTAAGAGTCTCTTACATGTCCTTCTGGGTAACATAAGGCTTACCCGCCACCAAGACACTGAGGAAGAGGGAGATAGCTAATGACACACTACCATAACGCGATCAACAAACAAGTAAATCGATGCCAGACAAGAGCATCGCCTCACACGCTCCAAATCAAGCTAAAAGGTGGTAAAAAACAGATCTGAAAACTCGAAACCCTAACTGTCATCCAAAAAGCCAACCTCTTCAGCTCCTCCGCTAACTCACCTCACCTGGACGGCAGAGACATTGCCGTCATATAGAACCACCACTTTTCCAGAAAGTAAAGCTCGAAGATCCACTGAAGCTTTTAAGAAAAAAAGTATTTCGGCGAGAAGACTAAGGAGAGAAAGAGTGAGGCAAAGGAGGAAATGAGAGAGAAGAAAGGAAGAACAGTCGATGTCAGAACCACTGCAAGCGGAAGCATGAATTTAAAACACTAAAAAAAATAGAAAGAGAGGATTAGTAGAAAGAGAGGAGCTCACACCATAGTAAGGTGTGTGTCAATGGCACATGATAAATTCAGGCCGCTTTAAAAGGTATGTGGATAATTTGTAATACAATTCTTTTTCCCCTATGTTAATGAATGATTTCTTAATTTTGGACCCTTAATTTACGATAATTTAAAAAACAAAGGCCTTAAATTAGTAAAGAAATACTAGTGAAAATATGAAGATCCAATGCCCTTGCACCTCCAGAATTACTCCAAAGCCGGCACTGGATAAAGTCATACCCGTTTTAGAAGGTATGTGGACCATGTGCAATACAATATTTTTTCCACCTAAGTTAATGAATGATTTTCAAAATTTGAATCCTTAGTTTATGATAATTTTAAAAAATAAATATCCTAAATTAGTGGTGATCAGACCAGTCGATTTTCCGAGGAGCATCTCTGTCTGGCCGGGTCTGATCTATGTGGAAAAGGGTATAGCTTCTGGTCCTTGCTTCTTTTGCTAACGCGTCCGCTCGCCTATTCCTACTCCGAGGAATATGAGACAGACTCACATCCGCGAACTCCTCATGTAATATATGGAATGCTTCAATCTCGGCCGTGAAGGTCGGCCAATCCTCCGGATTTGTAGTCATGCCCACTAGATCCGAGCAGTCCGTCTCAAACCGTATCGAAGTTATCATTCTGTCTCTCATACATGAGGATGCCCAAAGTAAACCTTCCATCTCAGCATGCAAAGCTGAGAGACTTCTTCTGCATGCCCGTAATCTGAAAACTTCAGAGCCCATTTGATCCTTAAGACTCCACCCTAAGCCACTGACACTGCCATTATCTATCTATGACGCATCAATTTGGCTGGTAGGGATTCGAAGTGCCCAAGGGGGCACTGACTTGGTCTCAGTATAAGGAGGATTTTCATTATCCTCATTTGTTTCTTCCTTTTCATTAGCCTTCCTCCAAGATTCTGCCTCAAGAGACGCGTGTTGGAGAGCGTCAATCGGGGAGACGAATTTCTCATTAAAGAGTTTGTCGTTCCTCGCCTTCTTAATATACTAGCAAATCCATGGGAAGGTATCGAATTCTGGTCTCAGTGGAGCCACCTCTTTTCTCTTCCAAAACAGAAAGTTCATGTTTTGGTATATAGATGTACTCGGGAAGTCACCCGGAAGGGACGGATGGTCCGATAAAGCCCAAACCTGCAAGGCTGATGCGAATTCAAAAAGTAGATGATTAATTAACTCCACTGGGCCAGGTGTCTATAAGTGAGTCTCTCTGCTAATGCCACACAGCCTGAGATTGCCTGCCACAAAAAATGCTTCATCTTACTAGGAGCCTTTATCTTCCACACATGGCTTTGAAGGCTCGTGATACTTGGTTCTAGAACCTCTTCTTGTGTGAGATTCCTCTTGGTCGATTTAAGTAGGTCATATCCGGTTTTCACTGAGTATACTCCTGATTTTGTGTGACTCCAAACATATCCATCCGGAATAAGAGAGCGAAGGTGTTATCCCAAGTATCAACATGATATCTTCTGGATGAAAGAATTCTCGTAAAAGTTGTATATCCCACTCCTCGGTATTATTCCTAATAAAGGACTGAAGACGAAGTTGGGATAGTCTGTAAACAATGTAATCGGCAGGTCTAGGTGATCGAGTCACTGAGTGTGGAACCGAAGACTCACTCCAAGCCCTCATATCTTGACCCGTTCCAATTCTTTTCCGTAAATCTGAGATGAGTAGAGGTTTCGTTGCCATGATACTTCGCCATCCATATGATGGTGAGTATATTCGTCGATCTTCCAAGGGAGAGGTTTGCTTGTAGTACTTTCCCTTTAGGACCCGTGCAAGTAAGGAGTTCGTATAATGAATTAATCTTCACAACTGTTTTGCCAGAAGAACTAAATTGAAATCATGAAGATCTTGAAAACCTAGCCCCCTCAATTTTTTAGGGGTACAGATCTCGTTTCATGCTATCCAATGTAAGCCTTTGTTGTTCTATTTTGAGTTCCACCAAAAATTAGAAATTGTGCTCCTTATATTATCAGTAATTTCTTGTGGAATCAAATAACACGACATTGAAAATGTCAGAACTGCTTAGCAGGATGAATTATAAAAATTTAGTTTGCAAACTGAAATGGTCAATCTGCTTTAGCTTAATTGGTGAAAGTCCTACATCTGAACCCCTCTTTCTCCTGTTCAATTCTTCTTAATCCTATTTTCTATTGTTTTCTCATACTATTTGTTTAGTTAATTCAAATTTTATGAGAGAATATGTGTTCCTTTAGTCAAACTTTACTTAGTGAACTAATTATCTTTCGGACTGCAATTGGTTATTATTTTGAAATTATATTGTCTCAATGTTTAGACGCCTTTAAAGTTACATTTTAGATACGTATTGATATAGGAAAGCACATACAAGTAAGCACATAACAATGATAATTACTGAAATTGGGAATAAACTATTTTAAGAATTGATTAGCTTTGTTTGCATGGATACCTACTTTGCGAAAAGCTTAATTTAAAGCTTCGTTAGTCAAGCTACACAAGTAAATAAAACTAAGCCAGCCACATCTTCTTTTTTTATTAACAAAAAAAAAAACTAAGCCAGTCACATCTTAGTACTGAAATATAGTTAAACCTTATACATTTTTTTGCTTAACAACCTTATACACTTTAACTATAACTTTATGCGACTCACTAATTAGTTGATTTTTTGGGATCACATGATCCTCTAACATTTATAAATAGTTTGATTAGAAGCTCACTGCTGCAGATTGTTAAACTAATTAAACAAAAGACTCTAAATATTACTTGATAAAACAATCAAATATACTGGGTAGTGTTTTTTCATAATACTCCATAAGAATAATAAAAGAAATGAAAGCTCTAAAATAACACAGCCTTTTCTTTTCCGTAAGAATAATAAAAGAAATGAAAACTCTAAAATAAACAAACACAGCTTTTTTCTTACTTTTTTACTAGACTTCTCATTTTTGATAAGATATTGTACATAATTCTGACGAAATAGCGCTATCAGTTCATCATTCCGCATTACCTTCAAGTATGCCTTAATCACTTACATATATGTATAAATAAGTATCCATTTTCATTGCTAATGTCTTTCTCTCCTTTTTCATTAAAACTAATGGCATCACTAAGGAACACTCTCCCACTCTTCTTCTGTCTCCTCGCCGCAACCGGTCCTTGGCTCTGCTCCGCCACCTCCGCCACAGACACTTTCGTCTACGGTGGCTGCTCCCAGCAAAAATTCTCTCCCGCGTCTCCTTATGAGTCAAACCTCAACTCGCTTCTCACTTCTCTAGTCAACTCAGCTACATACTCTTCCTACAACAACTTCACCATCATGGGCTCTTCCTCTTCCGACACAGCTCGTGGTCTTTTCCAATGCCGCGGTGACCTATCCATGCCCGACTGCGCCACGTGTGTGGCACGTGCCGTCTCCCAAGTCGGCCCTCTTTGCCCTTACACTTGCGGTGGAGCCCTCCAGTTAGCCGGTTGCTACGTCAAGTACGATAATGTCAGCTTTCTTGGTCAAGAAGACAAGACCGTTGTCCTAAAGAAATGTGGTCCCTCTGAGGGTTACAATACCGACGGGATCAGCCGGAGAGACGCTGTTCTCACTGAGCTACTCGGGGGCGGAGGATATTTTCGAGCGGGAGGGTCCAGTGATGTTCAAGGTATGGGACAGTGTGTTGGAGATCTAACCGTTTCAGAGTGCCAAGATTGCCTGGGAACGGCCATCGGACGGCTTAAAAACGATTGTGGCACGGCCGTATTTGGAGACATGTTCTTGACCAAGTGTTACGCAAGATATTCAACTGGCGGTGGAAAATACGATGCCAAGTCGCACAATTGTAACTTTTCTTTACCTATCATCATTATTACTATAATTACTACTAGCATAAATATAAAACCTTATGTTTTGATTATCATTATCATCAAAATCTGAAAGTTTTAAACGCAAAATTAAGAGTTAGGTACCTTCCAAAAGTTTAGAGATTAAATTATTTTTAAACGTTTACAAAATGAATTATTCTTAAACCTTTTGTGTTGTTTTTATTTTTCTCAGAAATTTGGTATATTTGAAAAAAGAAATTTTAGGTTATTTTGAATATTATCTTAAATATTTTATGAAACATAGTACATATAATTTTGGAGGGATTTGACTTTTCTAAATAATTAAGTATCTCTAAAACTAACCGGTGTTATTGCTCTGGGATTTTGGTTAAATAGTAATATGGAAGCTACTTAAAAAATCTGTGTTCTCATTAATTATTGTCAAATAAATTAGATAAAGCAAACTATGGTGGAGAAAGGACGTTCGCCATTATCATAGGACTACTAGCTGCAGTTGTTCTTCTTATTATCTTCCTTCTTTTCCTAAGAGGCGTTTGCAGTCGCGGAGGTAATCAATTATTTTTTCTTGCCCTTTCCTCAATTTTAATTTTATCTAATTTCTTTCACAACATATCAAACAGACACAAACATCGTATATTCAAATTCTCCATGCACGGATCTTAGTGGTCAAACTGATTTTATGAATGTTATATGCAATATGCTTGAACGTGCACGCATGATGTACGGTGCATAAGTAAAATTGTCTTCAAAATAGATGAATCAAACAGTACCGAAGTATAATAACAATTATTGCCCATTAGGATTCACTTTTAAAAACATTTGTATTTTATTATTTTTGATCAAACTCGAGTACAAAAAAGTAACATTTGTATTTAAATTTTCAGGTAAATAAATGTCAAGAGCGTGGATCTCAGAAAAGCAAAACTTCAGATGTGACGTATATCGCTTTGAATTCTGTCGACTTTTTCATTATTTCTTTTTAATTACTTTTCTGCACTATTTTAATTGTTTTATCTCGATTGTTGTTACATAATACTTGTGATAATAAATTATTTTAATTAAAAGATAGCTGATGAAAGGAGGCTCTAAGAAATGAATTTGGGGCTTTATGCATATCCAGAAGGCTGACTAAAGCAACAAAAAGTAAAAGGGCATAGACAAAAAATATGTCCAAAGCAAGTGTACGTCAATCTTTCTGTCAAAAGGCATATATTCTCTTATAAAGATGTATAATCTTATACTATTCTTCTCAAATGTTTCCTTCATTTTTTTGTTCATTTTTGGCATGATAAAAATGTTGGAAAATAGAATTTTTTTTTGTCATATTTGATGGATTAATTTGAAAACTTGAAAGTTCTACACAAGCCAACAAAAACACACATTCCTTCCAGAATCATAAACTGGCAAAAATCACAAATTTTTTAGAGCCAAATGAAACTACAAAGACATGACTAAAACAAGAGGATGGATAAAACTTAAGCTTAAAAACTCAAAAAACCAAAATGAATGTCCTGATGATAGGCGATTGCGGAAGAGTGCACTGATCTTCAAGAAACGAATAGAAACTAGTCGAAGACCCTTGTTTGTTGAGTTAAAATTACTCTCTATCCAAAGAACCAAAAAAACAATTTAGCAGAGACCTCAAAGCTCACACAACGTTAAGCTGGTATTTCCATCAGCTCCAGTCATATCGTAACACAGTTAAAACCATTTGGATCTTCATATGAACACCAGAGAAAACACTCTTGTCAGAAACCAAAGCAGAGACCCTCCACAATTATTGATACAAGAACCAAGACTTAAACATAATCCATACTCAGTTCAAACCATACCCGACCAACTGAGGAGCTAAAGAAAATGAACGTGGTTGAGACCGTAAGAGCTCCGTCATCACAAGACGTTATGCAATGATATGCAAAACCAATAACCACAAATCTGAACCGGAAATTACTTCCACCGAACCAGAACTAATGTATGCATCATGAATAATCACGCCTTCAAGACTAAGCTCATCACAAATCCACCCATCCTCGACCCTCGACACTAATTAAAACCACAAAGTACTGACCACTTATGGAGGACCGCGAACCCGAAGACACTTCAGGCGAACATAAACCGCAACACTTCACCGGAGATGGACCTGACCAACTAGTCCAGAACCCCCGTAAAGGTCACACCGGAGATTGACCTTTTTGCATCTGCAGACCATATCAAGGAAAGAAATACCAATAGCCCGGATCTAGTACGTCCGACCTTGTTGAGACGCAGCTGGACACCACCATAACCTTTCACGATATTACTTTGATACCATGACCTCTGCTTGCCTAGATCTGTGACCACTAAAACTCAAGACCACTAAAACTATACAGGAAGAAGAAATAACACGATTAGAACTGGTGGTGGAGCTATTAAAACCACCACGCGCCGGTCCCCAGAGATTTAAGCAGTACCGCGTACAAGGGGGAGGTGAGTTTGTCGAGAGAGAATTAGGTTATTTTTTCAGATCAGTTTTGTGTTTTCTAGGATTGGAAAATAGAGTTCATTCACACTTTAGTGATGAAAACTATAGAAATGTTATTTACTCTAGGTAAGTTGAACAAATTTTAATTGATTAAATTACAATACAACTAACAATTAGTTACATTTTCTTGATAATAGGTCCTATAGAACTAGTATTTATCTTGGATTACAAATATGTTTTCATTTATTTGATTAAAGATCTTAAGCAAAAGAAAAGAATTCGAAGTAGTCTTTTGTTTTTGCAACGCAAATCATTCCACGGATTTGATCCAAAAAAAAAAAAAATCATTCCACGGATTGGCAGTCAATCCACAATATAATAAGAGAAGTTAACTCAACTAGTATGAATTTTATTAATTATTATCACAACCATACAAAACTTTTTTTTATTACTACATTTTTTTAATACCCAGCGTGCCCTTTTTTTACATTGTGAGAAAAACATATTTACGAGAATGCCATTACTTTTTTGTGCCACGTAGGCAAAAAATCGGGTCCACGTAAGAATGCGGCATAAAACTCAGCCTCAATACGATATGAACTTCGTTACGGCCGAGATATAGGTGCGTTGCGGCTGACTTAACTAACCTAGCTGAGTTATGAGAAATAAGCTGAGTTATGAACATAACTCATTCGATCGTTACGGCTGACTTAAAAAAATCTGGCTGGTTTATTTGATAACGGCTGAGTTACGGTCAGATATTACGACTGACTTATACATCCTTAGGCTGGTTCCTGGAAAATCCGACTGAGTTCTAGTTACCACACGGCTGAGTTAACTATCGCGACTGGTTAATTGATCGTCGACCGGCCGAGTTATGAGATGTTTTTACAGCTGAGTTATATTTAATCAGCCGTCATAAAGTGGAGTAACAATAAACTCAGCTGATTTACGGCTGACTTTTTTTAGCGAAAGATTAATTACTAGAATAGCATTCATTTGCCGGCTGGTTTATTTAACGATACAGCTGACTTCTTTCGTTTCATCTTTGTTATGGCTGATTGTTAACAAAAAGTTAATTACTAAAATAGTATTCACGTTTTCACTGACTTACGGTGTATTAAGCGGCTAACTTATTGTGGCTGACTTAAATGTTTGTTTGGTGGCTGAATTACTGATTTTCCATGTCATCATCCATGTCAGCTTTTATTTTCCATGTCATTACTAACTACAACAACAAATTTAGGGTTTATGTTACAGACGCCGCTATCTGTTCTTCACCTTCTTCTCTTTCTCTAAAATCTTATGGATCCAGTAATTATTGTTTCAGGTAACTGGATTAAGAAAAACAGATATGTATTCACACCCGAAAGTAGAGGATGTATTGTTCTACATGCAGATGAGAAAAAAACACACGACGAACTCGCAAAGTCAGTACTTGATGATTACGGATTGAATGAGTCGAGCCATCAGATTCAGCTAAGCTACCAGTTCTCGAATAAAGCTTTGAAAATAATGGCTCACGACACGCCACCAGTTTACATCTCCAATACTCGTCAATTGCAAATATTTTTAAGCCTAAGGAAAACCGAAATATTACGTCTCTGTGTAGAGATTACAGAGAACGAGGATGATGAGATCAACCGGAAAGACGGAGCGGGAGAGAAGAGTAATATATTATACAGTTTCAGCTCAGAAGCATAAGTCTCAGAAGTTGAATCTAGATAAGATGGTTTTAGTTTGGAGGAGGAACAGAACGACAATGAGAATATCTTGGACAGAGAAAAACATAAAGATGTTGGAGAAGATGAAGAAGGCGAAGAAGACAGTGAATTTGATAGCCGATTTGATATGTTCGACGACTTAGATGGTGCGTCATCCGAAGATGATAACTTTAGCTCATATGGTGAGTCTCCAACACAAGACGAAGATTCACCGACACTACCGCCTAAAAAGAGATCTCAGTTGACTGAAACTTCTTACAATTGGACCGGATCTAAGGGGGATTCAGAGGTTCTAAGGTTGGAGATGTCTTCGCTAAACCTTGCTGTTGGGCAACGATACCAGAGTAAAGCTGAGTTGGAAAGACGATTGAAACTTCTTACAGTGAGAGATCAATTTGATTTTGATGTGGAAGTATCCAATCCAGATTTACTCATTGTTAAA